AAATCGTCAACGGAAGACCACCTTCGAAAGGTTCGCCGACTGAACGAACACCCTTCAAAATCCAGTGAATGATCTACGGTGGATCAGAACAGCCTGGTTTTCTTAGTAGCAAGGTAGACTGGCTGGATGCTTGGAGCAGCGTCAACATGAGCCGTGGCTGCTTGACAAGGGAAACACATTCTGCGTGAGACTCACTTGCTACTCCGTGTTGAGCTTGTCGCGGTACTGTTTTAGAACTGAGTTCAAGTATGTCTTGCTGGAAAATTTCAAACTGACACTCTTGAAGATCGCTTCGGTCGCTACCGTCAGCTTGCTGGTGCACAGTATCATGTTTCCGTTAGGCAGCTTCTGGAGTCTGAAAAGAAAATTTGTACTGCAAAAGCTGCTGATGCTTCCGCAGCCAGACATCAGCAGCAAAAGTGACCGAAGTATCGCAACATAACTTCTCTGTTCAATCTCAAATGATGAAATTTCCACCCAAAGCATGACATGGAGGTTCGTTGCTTATATCGCTGGATATTGTGCTCATTCAGCTCTGAAGAAGCTGTCAATGCGCATTTGCAGCAGCGTGCCTCGGCCTGGAGAGCAGGAACATAGATGTGGAAGGTAACACAATGATTGACAACTTGTCAAGAGGAAGCTTAAAGTTTCCGCAGCCAGGTACTGTGCACATGGTGCTTGGTGACAACGCTTGTTGTCGAGAAGCTCACCAAGGAAGAAAATGCAAAGGCGTTCCTCGCATCGAACAACCAACGTGGCATTGTAAGCTCCATTGCTAGGAGATGTTGAGCTAGAGACTTGTGAAAATGGCCATACCTCTGAGACTATCGCACGGCAAGTAGTGCGTGTTGCAACAAATGTCGCTCTGAACAACTTTTGTAGACTTCGAAATGACACCATCCAAAGCACCGCACAAAAAAAGGCAGCTGACAGAAAAATCAAAACCTTGAACAAGAATGAGGTAGGAATGGGTTTTAGCCTTTCGTCCTAATAAAATCACTTCTACAAATGCAGTTTGATCACTAAAGTGTAAAGGCAGGCATAACAAATTCAGACCGCGCAGGAACAAAAAAAGAAACAAAAAAAAAAAGAACAAAACCGGCTTTCAATAAGTGCCCACAGCAGATATAACGAGAACGAGTGGCGACGACGGTCCGGGGTGGGGGTGGGCACTAGCGTGACGTCAAGCTCTCCTGGAGGGGCCTTGTCAATAGTCTAGGTGGGTTGATTGACGCGTGGCTCACGCAGGCCTGACGAGCCCGATTGCGTGCGCATGCGGGTTGGCTCCGATTCACCGACGGCTGCAGGTCGCTTTGCCAACGTTTTCCTGCTCTGCTTTTCTTTTTTTCTTTGTATCATGGGCCCAGGCACATGTAAGACGAAATTAAACGCCTCTAAAGTCTGCAACTTGTTAGCGTGCAAGTACGCACCCACGCAATGTACGCACCACTTTGTATATCTTAGTTCGCAGTGTAATACACTATTATCTTTTTAATCCAAACATTGACGCATATAAAACCGATTTGCAGCAGGCTTTTCTACAACCCGTGGTGTTCCTGCTTGATCAGTTCTCTATTTCCCATAGAGTTAAAACGGTCCTTGAAACGTTTTTTTCACATTCATGATATTGGGGGGTTTAACATCCGAAAATCACGATATGATTATGAGAGACGCCGTATAATGAGGGCTCCAGAAATTTTGTCCACCTGGGGTTCTTCAACGTGCACGCAAATTTGAGCAAAAGGGCCCTACAGCATTTTCGCCTCCACTGATTCGCAAGTTCCAGATCCGAATGACAGACTGCTTGTTGAATCCAAAACTATTCTTTTGAAACGACTGCACAAATGTATAAACGTCGTAGGGTGAGCTGAATAATGCAGATTAAAGTGTACGGCATGCATGTTACCTATACGATGAGCTCGAATAAACCCCCGCAATAATTGCAACACGTGTGCCACGGGCCGTTGATAGGAATACAGCCCGATTGTTGGTCTGGCGAATAAATAAAGCACGGCGCCCTAGAAAATCGTCTCGCAGTGTCGGCGTCCAAAGTGCATTGAAACTTAGGTTCAACAGTAGCGCATATGCTTTTGTGTTTATTTGTTCATTATTTGCCGGTGCGATTGCACTTTTATGTATGTGTGAAGGCGTCTTGCAAGAGAAAGCGTGCCGATTAGATGGTTGATTTAATTCATCGACTGTGCTTGGGGAAATTCATTCAAACGAAAAGCTTATGGCTGCTTACGGTGCGATTATGAGCATTCTGCTTACGTTGTAGTATATCACGCGGGAAAATAAAGAAGCCGAGAGAAATTTGTGGCCCTTAATTATAAAATTAATTGTATAACTGCAATACTTTATTTGCTTATGTCATAATGCATGATCACCAAATCACAGGAATGCAATGAAATGCTGGCTTCGCATCTAACAAGGAGAACTTAGCAGCTCATCAAAGAAAGAAAAAAAGAACTGCTAATTAGTACTGCATGCATAGTTAATGTGCTTACATAGTTAATGTGCTTAAACTGCCGAAGTAGCCTTTATCCTAATACAATCAACTCTCCAGCCTCTTTAAGTATTATACAAGATTTCTTGGCAGTGTGTTTTAGTAGACACACAAGACTGTGCAGTATGTGGCACAGTCTTGGAACCTTCTGTTAGCCAGGTTAGTCCTGTTTTGTTTGTGTACATTTGCACTGCACAAAGTTGGAATGTATATGTGTTGCATAGCATTGCTGCATGTTATGGAAAATAGCTCAGTAACATATGCAGCCACACACTGTGCAACTAGCTGATGTTGGATAAGGCAGCTCGATTTCCGCAGCTCCCAGATGTGAAATTATTTTGTGTTCTTTGAAACATTACTTGGCACTTGGGAAGTCATCGTAAAAACCAGAAGCATTTAATATTTGTAAGCGTGTTTGCTGTTTAAAACAAACACAAGCTATTTAATGTAAAGTGATTTTGATGCCACATGACCACAAAGACAGTGTGATGCACAAATATACAGTTTAGCAAAAGTGCAGGTGTAGCATAATATGCTTATTCTAACCACCTCATATCCAGAAAATCTCACAGAAAACTGTGTGCATGGCAACCACCAGTACAGTGGCAACTCGGAAGACAGTAGAATGCCGGTCTGTTGGTAAGTTGACCTACAGGTTGAAAAATGCATGTATAAGGCATAAAATGTACAGTAGCTGTTCAGTTACAATATTCACACCTGAGCTCCTATAAACAAAAAAGAACTAGCAGGGAATAATGCATGATGATAAACAACTAGGCATGACACAATCGAAGAAGTTTTGTTCATTTGAGTGTATTATAACCATCTCAGCTACACATGTGGACATGACACCGAAGGTGCTCGTTTTGGCCAATTCACAGACAGCAGCTGCTTTCACCTCAGAAGCTGCAGTGTACAGTGGTGCTTCATCACATGAAGCAGCAGTAGCAGCTTCAGCCGATGTTGCTTCAGTGCCACAGCTCCCAGCAGGTTTCAGGCCTCTCGGTGGCTCAATACTTGTCCGAATGAATGAATGAATATTCCCCCGCTGAGAAAGAAAAGCTAGCTGCTGAAACAACTGTCCGAATGGACGTATCTTTCCCTGCTGAGGAACTAAGGCCAGCTGCTGAAGTTGATGTCACATACTTGCCCTCGTACAGCGATAGTTTTTGCAGGTATTACAAGCATTAGTCTTTGGTAGACTAACAACAAGGTTTAAATCTTTAACAATATGTGATGCTTAGCAATTCAGTAATCTTCAACATGTGATGGGCATGTAGTCACAAACTAGTTCACATACTGAAACCACCACTTGAGACAGTTATTCGCAGGCCTTGAAAAACTCGTATTTTCATTATTAATTTTCAGTAGAACACAATCCTCCTTCCGAATTTCAAGGAGGGTGGGTGGGCCCCTCATGCACCCTTCATTTTGGCCACACAGGTTGAACACCTGTATAAGACACATGCACTGGGGAGCAATCGAACAATTGAAGAACCATGTTAAATTTCTTATCAGCCTTATTTCAATCTAGGCACACTGGTATCTCTTATGCCACTTTGTCTCTTATATGTGTGTATCTTATATAGAAGTTTTACTCTATAAGCAGCATTTATAAAGCCTCTTTATTGACATTAGCTAGACAAGAGGATTTCTAAGCGAAGAATGTTGGTACTCATTTGCAATCATGATGCTCTATAATACAGCAGTGTTTTTAGATATTGCCACAACCTCTAACAAGATAATGAAGAGCATAGGAGGCCACGTTCCCCTGCAGTTAGTACGCTTAGGTCCAGCGGCAAGACTAGTACAGCAATTGCTGATGCCTGACTTGAACGCAGCCCTTTTGAAAGCAGTAAGACTTATTCAACATGAAGCACAGGGTGGTTCGTGATGAACATTTTCTTTTAATAGAAGCACATATTGCACAGGTTTTCAGATGTTCTCCCAATAAGAGGGCACTTGACACATGTGTACAACTACATTCTGCGCAGCATCTACAATGGGCTGCCACCTACCAAGCAGTTGCACAGTGCACGCAAAGAAACAGCAAAATGATTTCATGTGACCTATTACACATTATTTATGAGCCAATACATCAACCTATTTCGTATAAGACATTGCCAGTTACTTTATAAGACTTCAAAACAATGCCAGACTCGGCTCAAGGAGCGACTGTTTTGTGAAAGGACACTTGTGCCGCATTTCCGGCTATTATTAAAATAGAGTGCGCAAATTACGTTTTCTCATCTGGTTGCGAAGAAATGCACCTAAAGGCTCCCTGCAATGGTTAACTGAAGCTGTGTTAGCATTTCTGCTATAGCACAATGTGTCCCCTATACATTTTTATGGCATTATGATAGGTTAGTTCTCATTAATATTATGTCTATCAAAGGAAATGAAGCCTTAAAATTTTCACTTCTTTCTTTCAACCAAGCCATGTGACTTGTCTATTGTGCAATACTGAGCAACACACAAGCACTAACATGTTTTGTGGGGTCATTCATCTGCAGTACTCATCAAGACAACAGCACTGGAGGTCTAACGGTAGAAGAGCCTCTTCCCAGGGAACGAAAGTTCATTGTGTTTGAGAGCTCCCTTTGTGAACTGCTCGCTAACTGCTCCATATCTGGCCAAGCAGATGGCAACCTGAACTTCATCGTCATGGGAACTCTGGTCATTGTAAAGGGGGTGTGCGAGTGACTGCACAAGCTCCGGCGGAGAAGCCAGCCACTTGTTCGAGGTAGTCGAGTTGGAGCCGGCAACTTACTCCTGGTGGCTGGCATGCTCTACTCGGGCTGCGTGGTGGCTACAACCGTCCAATGCCTCAAGTCCATTGGTGCTCAGATCATCACGGAGTGTGCTTTCTGCAACTACCAGAGGGCCTACTTGCTCCCTGCAGTTAAACAGGTGCACTTATTGATCAACATCTAATATAACTATAGCAAAACTTGTAGACATAATAGGCAGCGTGAACACAAATGCTTATACTGCTCTTGCATTACAAGTGAATCTTATTTTTTAACATAATTTTTCCATAGATTTACACATTGCAAAGCAAAGCGTTTGCTTCCTTCTGTATATCTTTGTTAATGTTATGTAAATTCAGAACATGAAGTCATTTGGTATAAAACTTGTACAAAACTAGCCCATCTGATTTGTGGTTGTGATGCAAAAAAAAAAAAGCTTGATATATTTGCGTGCTGATGTTTAAATTTAGAAACCCGTCATCTAGAAAAATCATAGTTCTACAAACAGTTTTAGCATACTACCTTATTATCCTACTTTGTAGTGCAAATACTCATGAGTGAACTGAGTTTGAGTTGATGAATTGGTACAGTGATAAAAATCTAGCAGTGGTGGAATACTCGGCGGCATGTTGGCATGAAACATCATTGCTATTATACCAGGCCCTGGAAACTTGGTGCTAGTTTCAGTTTCAAAAACATGCACGCTCATAGCGGTTGCTGGGCATCCTGAGATTTGGTTGAACGGAGTGAGGTTGATGTGAATTTTCGCGTTTATATGCTTTCACACATTTTAACAAATAAAAGAATTCGATGCCCCGTAAAGAACTTCTCTTATGTTTATATGTTTTTTCTTTTTCCTTATTTCGTGAATTTTAAATCAGTGAAGCGCAGAAAGTGATTGACTTGCATTCGTAGTGCTTGCCTCCGCTCCTTTTTGCCTCCCGCTCAGCGATATTAGAAGCCGAATCTCAGTCGGTTGCCGTGTCAACCACGAGAAAGATAAATACAGCAAGTTGGGGCGAACAGAAAACAAAACGCAGTGAGCTATGCCGAACTAGTAAACCATGCATTTGTCGAAGACAGCTTAATGGGCAACAGAAGTTTTTCATGGCTCTGCGGTGTGCTAACCTAGGGATTTTTAGTTCCCCTAAGGTTTTTCAGCGTTTCTTAAAAACTGATGGGAGAGCACAGAAACTTAGAGCAATTATTGGAGCAAGTATTGATTTTGCATGAGTACATATGAATAAACCCAGTTCCCCACAAGTCTCACTGAACTGAGAAAGAGGAGTGTCGCTTGACTAATGTGAAGACGGCAGCCAAGCTCCTGTCTGGAAAATGCGTTTTTTGAAAGACTTCAATTTGAGTTGGCTCAGCTACATACATTTAGCTTCTTCTACTTTTGGTGACTAGTTGAAATGATGTCAAATATTTATAGCCCACTTCCTACTTATGAAATTCTTGTAAACACGGTTTAAAATTTTGCAAGTCCTTATTTTTAATAGTGTAAATCGAATACACGTGATGGACTAAATGCTTATAAGTAGTATTACAGAGAATGTCAATGGAGCCAAGTTTTGACAAGTGAACTTTACTTCGTCAAACAAGGACTAGTCAACTTGCCGCAACACTGTTTCCAGCGACATTTTTCTCAAAGAACTTCTGATTGCTTCAAGCCTCTTCGTGCCTCTGAACTTCAGTCTCGTTTAGTACTCAAGTTGTATGCCCGTCAACATAACAAACATGATTGAGTCAAATACAACTAGTCTTACTCACGATTGTTGATAATTTTCACATTGGTTCGGATATTGGGTTAAACGTTTGCTCATTATGTCCATATGTAAGTTGTAAATTGAAGCTGCATTATAGATTGACACTTTCACACTACCTGTATGTACCTGTCTTTTATACAAAACGTCCAACAAAAAGTGCATATCATTCGTGTCGATCGAGTTTCCGCTTACTGTGAAATCAGTCAGCTTAACTTTCGCCTCTTACGAAACACGAACGAAATTTAAAACAAGATTATTAAAATTTTATGGCCGCATCGCCCAAGCGGCCAATGAACCTACAAGAAGGCACAAACGCATACCGGTTGCATGCGAAGTGGGAAAGGAAGGCTTCTGCTGCAAGCCTCCTCCTCTCAATTTTTTGTCCTTTCTCTTTACTTGGGGACCTCAACAGTGAGGTCATTAAAGGAATTTTTGTTTGTGATTTATTTCTACTAGGATGCCCGGCAACTACTAGTGGTAAAAGTGGTGCTGTCTCTGCCGAGAGTGCATACATGGGAGTTACAGGGAGTTTCCGCCCCCTGATTATATTGTGGAATACTAAAAGAACCTATGCATCGTGCAACCCGTCTTCCCAGCTCTTCCTCAAAAAACAAGCAGCCATGGTGGATGCACTTGGTGACTTGCTAATTGACCTAACAGGTGATGGGCAATGTGACTCTCCTGGCTACTGGGCCAAGTATATCACGCGCATTGTGCTTGCCAGGCATAATGGCTGCATTTTAAACACTGATCTGGTGCAAGTCGGAGAGGTAAACTTGCAGTGCTACTTGTATACTGTTCAAGTGCTAACAAGATTTTTTGCTACACTTTTGTTCACAGTCACCCGAAGTTCCCTACAGTGTCTCCACAGAAAAGAAAGGACTTGCTAAGTGCCTGACTGCTGTGGGGAATCTAGGCATCCACATAAGCTCATTCACAACAGGTACCATATGCTTGTGCAAAGGTTGCCAGTGATTCTAAGAAACATCAAGTTAATAAAAATATATCTTTACGTGAAATCGTTGAGAAATTGCTGTTTTAAGAAGGAATGTTGAATGCAAAAGGAGGAGGGGAGTTTCATCACTCTTGTAGAAAGCACTGTGTGTGCCCACGAGGGTAGGTCCAAGGGACTTACTTGGCATAATTATGCCAAGTAAGTCCTTGCACCTGCCCTCATGGGCACATACAGGTCGACATCCTGGTGTCAAACTATACTGCCATAAGCACAAGCCAAATATGCCACACTGGTATAATCCTTGGCCCGTTGGTAAAGGTAAGCATGTACAGTGATTCGGCCCATTCTGATAAATTACCTAAGAAGGCCGATGTTAACACATGAGTAACATCCTAAAAACAGGCTTGTTAACTGGTAATCATGGTAGACGCACTTGCAACTTGCAAGTCAGCAAGTTTCCTCTTGCATGCATGATCTAATTACAATACTGAAGACAACCAGCAATAAAATACTAGCTTATGAGAAATGCTTGGACTAGTGTAGCTTTTGAGAAACTTGTAGCGAACATTTACTGAAACATTTGTGTTGGATTCATATATCCATAGTGGGCAGCGCACAAAAGGAAACACACAAGAGAAGGAATCAGGACAGGCGCTGGGTCCTGATTCCTTCTGCTTTTTTTTTCCACAAATCAAGTTACTCAAACCAACTAGCCCTCATCACCGCTTTGGCTGCTCAAACATGTTTTGACATTACGAGCAAGCGCATCCCCGAACACTTTAGGTAGAGACATTGCTCTCAGAAAAACTTTTCAATTTAACAGTTCACTATAACAAACTATTCTTCAAGAGGAAGGTATATAACAGTTGCATCTTGCCGGTACTTAGCTACGGAGCAGGAACCTGGAGACTTACTAAGAGGGTTCAGCTTAAATTGAGGACGATGCAGCGAGCAATGTAAAGAAAAGTGGTAAGTGTAACCTTAAGAGACAAGAAGAGAGCAGAGTGGATCAGGGAACAAACCGGGGTTAAGGATATCATAGTTGAAATTAAGAAGAGGAAATGGTCATAGGCCGAGCAGGTAGCACGTAGGCAGGATAACCCCTGGTCATTAAGGGTAACTAACTGGATTTTCAAAGAAGTCAAGTAGATTAGGGGAGACAGAAAGTTAGGCATGCAGATGAGATTAAGAAGTTTGCGGGTGTAAAATGGCAGCAGCAAGCACAGGACCGATTTGACTGGTAAAACATGGGAGAGACCTTTGTCCTGCAGTCGACGTAGTCAGGCTGATGATGACAAACGGAGCTGACACTAAATTTCTGTAAACTCAGCTCTGTTATACTATCACATTAAAAGAAAGTACCTGTACCCTACATGAAAATCCAATACCTGGCAGAGTAGCTAAATTAAGCTAAATGATCGGGCATGTAATCTAAAGGGTGTAGGTTTGGCTACTGCAGGTACAAAGCTGTATTTTTGTCTTTGTTTTGTTTTGTCACACTTATTTCCCAATTACTACTACAGTACCAATAAAAGAGTACAATTAACATCCTCTATACCTTCCTTGGCTTCTGTATCAGCTCGTTTTCAATAATTTCGTATAAGGAGACTTGAAGGTAACCCATACTTTCTGTAATGTCACCATTGCAGAGGAGCTTTCAGCTGGTTCAGCTAGTAATGACAGTTCAAAAAAGGAGTGCACATCTGGTAAGAACTGTTGGCTGTAAGTAAAGAGATGCGCTTCTAACAAACTGTGGCACTCCAGATGGAAAGCAACGGCAAAATAATGGTTAAAGGGAAAAAAATTCTCCTAAATAAGCATACAGTAAGTATATGATAAAAGCAGAGCCTCAAGGAAAATATAATGTTGTAACCATGCCACAGCATGCGTGCTTCTTGTGTTAATAGCGGTCACCAGCTGCACTAGATTAATTTTTTTATCGTCACACGAACGCCCCCCCCCCCCCCCCCCCCAAATGTGGATTTATTTATTTATTTATTTTCATGCTCTCAGGGCCTGAAGTCCTTACAGAGAAGAGTGGTTGAACAATATGTTAATATTGAAGCTTTGAAGGGGGCAGGTTCTTTGATCGTAGCTACGGAGGCAGGAACGTGGTTCCAGTCACTGCTTGTTAGTGGCAGAAAAGAAGCATAACAAGTGTTAGTGCGGCATAAGGGAACTTTTACTTATGATCCAATCATGAAGATACGTAGTCCGGGGGAAGGAAAAGGTCATTTTTGAGTGTTGGGTTTTCATAAAAAAATTTATGAAGAATGGTTTAAGCGGAAGTACTGACAAGGTGACTTTGTTGGTAGACCTATATTAGCTTTCAGTGCAGATACGCTGGCATAAAGAGAGTAATTGCAAAGCACAAAACGATCGGCACGGTTAACAGATTGAACAGCTGCACATATTACGGAGATAGATGGGTCCCAAATAGAACAAGAGTATTCCAATTTGGATCTAATGAGCGTGGTGTAGAGTCTAAGTGTTAAGTCTGATGGAGCAGATGAAAAATTACGTCGAAGAAAACTAAGCGTGGAATTTGCGTTAATAACTACTTTTTCAACGTGCATACTCTACGAAAGATTGTGAGTTAAATGTACGCCAAGATAGCGGTAGCTACTAACAGGGTTTAAAGTGAGGCTGTTAAGGGTATAGGAAAAGTTGTTGCTAATTTTATTGGGATGCATTGCTCTCATAGTTTAACATTTGGCAGTGTTTAATTTCATGAGCCACTTGTCGCACCAGTTTGAAATGGTGTCAATGTCAATGATTGCAAAGCAGAAACGTCATGCGGGTTATGAATGACACGATAGAGCACGAAATTGTCAGCTAAGAGCCTATTTCTTGAGTTTGTACCCACACATAATAATTAATATAAATACGAAAAAGTAAAGGGCCTCAAACCGAACCCTGCGGTACACCTGATGTAACAGCAACAGTAGGAAAGTTGTAGTTGTTAGCATAAACGTACTGAAGTTGGTTCGTTAGAAAACACTGAATCCAGTCTAGGACGCTTGGATCTATATTGAGCTTGCTCATGTTAAGGAGAAGGAGAGTATGTAAAACAGAATCGAAGGCTTTGGCATAATCTAAAAATATGCAGTCGGTTATGAAATTGTCGTTGGAAACACGAAAAAGATCGTTTGTAGAAAAAAAATAACTGCATTCAACAAGAGAAGTGCTTCCTAAATCTGTGTTGACAAGGGGAAAAAACGAGTTGGATTCAAGATATTAAGTTCGAATAGATGACATGCTCGAGAAGTTTGCGGGGTAAACTGGTTAAGATATTGGCCTGTAATATCGGGAGGAATGGGTTTTACCTGATTTGTGAAGTGGAGCCACCTTACCCACCTTCCAATCATCTGGCAAAGTGGCAGACTGCAAAGACTGCGAAAAAAGTTCAGCGAGCAAAACAGACGAATAAAGCTTTGTATTTTTGAAACTTTGAATTATTGTTGTTGCCCGCAGGGCTAGACAATGTCAATTTTTCTATTAGACTGCACACCCCAGACGAATCAACAGAGATGAATTTCACAGGGCAAAAAGAAGAGTCTTTGACAACAGGTAATGAAGAGATCATTGCGCCAGAAAAACAAAAACATCATTGAGCACACTGCAGCAGTAACGACAAAAAACAGGATCACCGTTGCTATCGAGTCAGTAAAGCATTGTAGATCTCCCTCTGCCACAAACGATACCAGTCATAAGGTAGGTTGACCTACAATCAAGTAAATATGGTATAATTACTTTCATCGTGTAATGTGTCCTGGCATGATAGTGACTTTGTCTGTCTACACAATGCAGGATGCGTCGAAGAGCTGCTGAAAAATGCGATGGACCTCCGCAAACTCTCATCATATAAGGGAGATTGACAAGCATAAGGCAGCAAAGCCATGGCATATATCCCTCATCTATGAACCATCCTCTAAGGAGGAGCTCATTCCTCAGAAGCGCACGCGCTTTTCCAACACCATCGACCTTGAATAAGTGATGTGCATTATTCTGATGACGTTGGTTTGGGTTCAATGACCCAAAACATGGATGCAATAATGAGGTATTCTATAGTGGAGGGTGCCAGAATTTTCGGTCGCATGGTGTTCTTCAACATGTACCTAAAGCTAAGTACAGGGCCTCAACCATTTTCGTCTACTCTGAGAATGCAGCCGCCACGGTTCGGATTCAATACAGCGTCCTTGAGGCTATCAGTTCAGTACCATAACAGACTAACCCTTGTGGCAGGGTAGTCCACCATACTTAGCCAGCATCAAAATCTTACTGTCAACTGGCATCAACATCTAGTTTCACGTGTGTGTGCTCTGGCTGGCGGCACACAGACAGCCACAGTGTGAATTGAGCGAGAGAGCTACACTGGATTGAGCAACGTCAAAAGCTCTGTGAAGCAGAGAGAATGCAACCATAGAGACGACACAGCTAAAGTCTTCTGACATGTACCATGCAACGAACTTCTTGGCAGTTGGGCAACCATGAAACCATGACTGATTTGTGGAAAGTGCCGTCAAATGTTATTTCACGAGACTCACCTACCAGAAACGAGGGGCATTTCCCAATACTCCCATCTGGTCATTCTGTCAAACTTGTGGTGCCGATCTCAAGTAGGTCTAGCTCTTCTTGGGCTGCCTCCCATAGCACCCAGACGCGAAAATAGATGTAGCTCTCTCGCTCGATTCACACAGCGGCTCCTGTGTACTGCCAGCCATTGTGATATAGTTTGACAAAAAAAAAACAAAGAACGAAAGACAGCTTCGTACCTGCAGTAACCAAACTTACAATCTTCAGATTACATGCCCGATCATTTAACTTATTTTAAGCTACACTCCCAGGTGTGGAATTTTTCACGTACAGTACGGGACTTTCTTTCAATGTGATGGCACAACAGAGATCAATTGACCGAATTTGGTGTCAGCTCCATTTGTTATCATCATCAGCCTGACTACGTCTACTGCAGGACAAAGACCTCTCCCATGTTTCGCCAGTCAACTTGGTCCTGTGCTTGCTGCTGCCATATTTACAACCCGCAACTTCTTAATCTCATCTGCATACCTAACTTTCTGTCTCCCCCTAATCCACTTGCCTTCTTTGAGAATCCAGTCAGTTACCCTTAATGACCGGCGGTTATCCTGCCTACGTGCTACCTGCCCGGCCTATGTCAATTTCTTCTTCTTCATTTCAACTATGCTATCCTTAACTCCGGTTTGTTTCCTGATCCACTCTGCTCTCTTCTTGTCTCTTAAGGTTACGCTTACCACTTTTTTTTACATAGCTCGCTGCATCGTCCCCAATTTAAGCTGAACCCTCTTTGTAAGTCTCCAGGTTTCTGCTCCGTAGCTAAGTACCGGCAAGATGCAACTGTTATATACCTTCCTCTTGAAGAATAGTTTGTTATAGTGAACTGTTAAATTGAAAAGTTTTTCTGAGAGCAATATCTCTACCTAAAGCAATCAAGGATGCGCTTGCACGTAATGTCAAAACATGTTTGAACAGCCAAAGCGGCGGTGGGGGCTAGTTGGTTTGAGTCACTTGATTCGTAGAAAATAAAAAAGCAGATGCAGACATCAGGAACACATACGTAGAACCAGTTCTCATACTGTGTACGAGTTTCTTAATTGTGTCTGCACCTGGTTTTTTTTTTTTGCTACATAGTATATGAATGCAATACAAATGTTTCAGTAAATGTTCGCTACAAGTTTCTCAAAATCTACACTAGTCCAAGCATTTCTCATAAGCTAGTATTTTATTGCTGGTTGTCTTCAATATTGTAATTAGATCATGCATGCAAGAGGAAACTTGCTGACTTGCAAGTTGCAAGTGTGTCTACCACGATTACCAGTTAACAAGCCTGTTTTTATATGTTACTCATGTGTAAACATCGGCCTTCTTAGGTAATTTATCAGAATGGGCCGAATCACTGTACATGCTTACCTTTACCAACGGGCCAAGCATCATACCAGTGTGGCATGTTTGGCTTGTACTTGTGGCAGTATAGTTTGACATCAGGATGTCGACCTGGGGAAAAATTATGCCTAGTAAGTCCCTTGGACCTGCTCTCATGGGCACACACAGTGCTTTCTACAAAAGTGATAAAACTCCCATCCTCCGCTTGCATCCACCATTCCTTCTTAAAACAGCAATTTTTTAACGATTTCACATAAAGATATATTTTTATTAACTTGATGTTTCTTAGATTCACTTGCAGATTGCATAGAGGCTTGTATGACATATACCTAGTATATTTCTGTCATGTCTCATTCATTCGATGTTTATCAATGTTTAAAAACTAACTATAAATTCTCACTGCAAATAACACAGTTTGTTACATGCAGCTTGTTATACACTATTCAAATAATTTTTGCATAATTAAGAGTACATAAAGAATGGCTGTATACTGAAATGTGGGTACTCTCAGTGTTAACAGATTGCTTCTCAGTAAGCTGTATTTTGTGTGTGTCGTTGTGAGGATACCAAAATGTATACGGTCATCAGCTGTAGATTCTCCTACAGAAACAGGCTCAATGTTACCAGAATACAAAGCCGTCGCCTTGTAACAACATTGCTACCATATCTTCAGTGCCTTCTCGATTGCAAATTCATTCTTGCGTGTGGCAGCTGACTAATACTGTTTCACCTTGTCATTTGTGAAACACATTGCAACGAATTGGACAGTAAAACTTGAATTGTATTATTGAACATTATACGGAAGCCAGATGTAATATGCTATTGCAGCTTATGAAAAAAACCCTAGTAACATTGCTCTTCATATGATTTTGTTGTGTAGTGACATTAATTAATACTAGTACTGTATTGCACTTAACTACGTCCTTGTGACATTTCATCTAAATGGACTCTTTCAGGTCTGAAGACTGCCCCACTGAAGATAGTAGAAAGAAATCGAAGCTGAGAGTCAGTGGCCTCTGAAGTTGTCTGCTGTGCTTCAGTGAACGGTCTTGGGAATCTGCTATTTTTCGTGATACTAATTTGCAAACCTGCGAGGCCAGGTGCCACTCAGTGACCCCCCCCCCTCCCCCCCCAGACAAACGTCGTGTGTAAGGCGCTGCCGCGCAGGCGCAGACTCGTCTGCTGAAAAAGGCCCACTGACACAAGAAAGCAAAGAATGAATAGTTAAGGTTGTATGAACATAGCTTTGTTTTGTCACATGTGCAGTAATGGAAGTGCTGCTCTAAACTGCTCCAAAGATAAATTCTGCTCCTAAGAACAATTTTCGTTCATAGTTGCTTCAAACCTGCTCCAAAATGGCACTGAGAGAATGAGAATAATGAACTTTCACTGTTCGACCAGCTGACAGGGCCTAAAGAAAAACTTAAAAGAATCCGTATACTATTATCCCAGTATGCTACAAATGTGCAGCATTATTGGCTTTGATCTCATTTGTGCGACAACTCGCGTATTAAGCATATAGCTCATTTGGCTGTTTTTTTTTTTAGCTAGACTTGCAGGCTAGTGTGATGAAATGGGAAGATGAGCAGGCTTGCCTTTATATCATACTGATTAGCCACTGCTTATTTCGAAATAGTTATGTGGAACTGTGGCTACTTCTAAAATGTGGTGCTCAGTGCTATCAGTTTGATTTGATTGCTGCTACAAATACTAGTATTTTAATTATATAGCGCATTTCAAAATGCATTTTTGAAAACCAATCATCTTGTCGATTGTTTGCTTCTTGAAATATACATTGATTGTTCTCTGTAAAATATATTTTATAACAAATATTATTATTTAGGAGATGCTTCGACGATGCTTTGAACACATCTTTTTCCACTCGGAAAACACTTATGACTGCTCCAAAGCAATACTTTTCTCACCAAAGTTTGCTCCTATAAGTAAAAAGTCACTTCCATCGCTGCATGGGCAGCAGGGGATGTCAGTTACAATTGTAGTTTGCCCATTTTTCTGTTTTGGTTCAAAAGTAACTTTTTCTTATATTTACTATTATATTTGCTATATTCCCAGCTGATATGCTTGAAGCTGCCGTTGAAGAGGAGGTGGCATTTCTGGTAGTCGGTTATCCGTTTGGGTATGTGATTTGGTCCTCCCCAACAACCCGCTTTTTGCAAGGTGGCCCAGTGTAGCTCACTAAAATTGATATTTGGGCTCGTGGGGGTACGCCATTTGTGGGCAGAATGTTTCACTTAAGCGACATAGACTCGAGAAGAAACAAAGCACACAAGGCACTATGCGCTATTTGTCATTTCTTCTGGTGTTCGTGCACATCCTGTACCGAATTATATTCTCTAGTGGCCCACTGTGCATTCGAGCAAATGTTGCAGAGGAGTATTGATCAAAGTTGAAACCTTCTAGATTGGCGACGCTGCTTTCGGAGTGATTGAATGCTTGCTTCTGAGCATAGTACATTTGAAGTATAATATGAAGTCGCAGACAACTTGTCAGCAGAATGTTGCACGTCTGGGTACCAAGCTTTTTTTTTGGCAGCTCCAATGTAATTGTGGAGAAAAAAGATACAGATGCACGAGCGATTGCTGGGTCAATCACCGTCGAAAAGAAAGGCACCACTTGTGTCAGCGCGTCCTTGGTGTCGCCACCTAGATTGATGTGCCTTCAAGTTCTTTTGGTTGAACTGCAATTCTCAGTGCCACCACGCACTCTGACCTGATGCTTTGTGCTCACGAACGAGGTGTCAAGACGCAGGTGTTCACAACGCCTCTATTCTGACAGCAGTCGGCTGCTGCAGCCTTCAGGTGAGGAGCTCCTTGCGTTATGTGCAACTGTGTTAGGCTCGAAATAACATGAGCTTACTGGCATCATGATAGTTATAGCGCGAGAACAGAGCGACGACAAAAAGACAAGTCATTCTGTTCTGTTTTGTTCTCGAAATAACATCGAGAACAAAACATCAGAACAAATCAACAAAAACTCAGAACATCAGAACAAAAACTCGAAATAACATGACCTTACTGGCATCATGATAGTTATAGCGCGAGAACAGAGCGACGACAAAAAGACAAGTCATTCTGTTCTGTTTTGTTCTCGCGCTATAAATATCGTCATGTCATACCAACTAGCCCAAATTGCCACACTTTCTGGCATGTTTTGTTGTTTGTGGATGACATCATTGACATAAATTTATTTTGACATCACGGGAGACATTACGAAAGTCGAAACAGTGATGCTGTTAGACGAACGCCATAGGCGTGTGCACTATTTGACAACATAGCAAAAAGCAGCATGAGATCATTAGTTATTAAACAACAAAAACATGGTTTGCAGGATCATGATGATTTGCATTTTAAAACAAGTAGAAAAATGTTTTTACAAAGGAGCAATATAAATGCTGTATCGTAGGAAACCATTTCATGTTAGTGACAGTGAGTAGCTCATCATTTGGCAACCGTAGTTAGCATGTCTGTGAGGGATTTTTCATTCACAAATGGCTGATGTGCTTTTGACATATGGGAGGAATGTAGCCTCCCACCAGGGCATTTCGTTTCCTTTCCAACCCCACATATCCGGCCGCTTCACCACTACCAGAGCGTGCGAATTCCCACGTTTTGCTTGGCATGGCATGTGAGAGGTCAACGTGTTTCAATTTTTCAACCCGCTGAAGCGATTGTGCGCCGAAAATGAGCAGAATTGTCGGATGTGAACAGGTCAACAGGTTACCACTGCACTCTGTTTGGCTGCAACAACAACTATCGGAAGCATGAAAGACTGGCAGCCAAGACATGCGAAGTGCACCCTATAAAATGACGTCGCATCGCACACATTTTTCTCCTACAAATACTATGATAGGTAGTGTCTGCACCTGGGCCCATTTCTTCATCACACCAGTTGTATTTCTGCTTTGGTACTGGTACTCTTTATCACCAGCATCGAAAAGAAGCAATGTCAAGGCTGCTGATCAACAGAGAGAATCTGTTGCCAAGAATCGTAGTGTAAAATCAACATTCCTTGTTCCCATCCTATGCAACAGCACATGAGCTACAACGCCTGCGGCTAGTCAAATCTAAGTAACTGCAATTTCGAGATAATTGAGTGGGCACTTACACTGCTACATGACAGAAAGGCCTGTGTGATAAGTCTTCTTTGGGGAAGGAACATTCCTTTAGTTGCTTCAACAGCACATTGTTTCTCGACTTACCAATTTTGTGACTATAACTGGGGCAGCGTTCTGGCAACCTCGCTTTTTTTTTTACACCAACCTGGCTGTTCTGAATAGTCTGCCCACGTTAGTTAAAGATAGGTTGTCACCTAAACACGTGCACTCGTCGTGATGTTTCTTAAAGGGGTACTGATACAAAATGTTTTTTTTATATTTGCCACTGTGTGTTCTTGCATTGCTTTTTCTTTTTTTTTTTTTGCTACAATATGTTGCTGGAGGTCTGTTAATCATAACACGTTGCATCGTTTGCTGCAGCATGCAACGGATAATTAGTTACAGGTTCATTACTGACCAGTCTGAGTGTCAGTTTGAGATGGCTCCAAAAACGACCAGCTGACAAGTGCAACTATCACCACCTAGCATGTGCGACTTTCAACCCTGTCGGCACACAGAACTGTGAAGTACTTCCTCACAGTCCACATCGAGAAGCGCTTTCGAATAGCAAACGGGACAGCAGTGCCACCAAACACAAAGCTTTAATGTGTGCACCACTGACTCGCCTTTTACATGGCATGTCCTATAAAGTGGACGGAGAGAAGAGCGCCGCTGTAGCTCGGTTGGTAGAGCGTCGGACACGTTATTCAAATGTCGCAGGCTCAGTCTCTTCTAGCGGCGAGTTATTTTTTCATGCACTTTTATTTTTCTGCATTTACGTTACAGTTACTGCTAGTAGCAATTCCTGTACATTGTTTGGCATCACTGTCCCATAGTTCTCATCGCAAGGAAAGGGCGCATTTCATTAATATGACATTGCTAGAGCGATAGTCGTTAAATAATATGAAACATGCTGCATTATCCTGCAAAGCATTCTTTATTAGAACTGGGAGTCTACTTGTTAGGTTTACTAAGAGTCTACTATTTACAATCATCAGTGGAAAAGTTTCATTTTCATCACATATCTCAAGCTTGGCTGGGGATCACACTGTTCATACCTAGGAGGATACCTTCAACTGCTGGCCGTGTTTTTGGGCACGGTGCGTGCGTATGTTTCCTGGCTGTGATGTGCGCTTCCTATTGTCCAGGTTGATCAGCCAAGTGTCCTTATTTTTTTCTAATCACGACTGCTACCATTTTTACGGTGTGGCTGGCCTTGTGCGTAATGTGCATTGACTAGTAGTCACCTGATTAAAGCACGCGGCAATCTTGCGACGCCTCGTTTGCATTAGATCTGCATAGGGACAAAAGATGTGAGGATGTGGTAGATGACCTGCTCACAAGGCACTGGTCTGAAATTTTATTAATGCAAAGTTTGAGCCCCGCTGTGACACTAAAACAGGGCATGTAAACAAGTGATTAGAAACTATTAAAAAAACTTTAAATAACAGACATGGAATGTGGATATCAGGCAAAAGACAGTCCATAATTTTGACATGACACAAGACAAGAAAGAAACGACAAGAGCGTTGACTTACAACTCTGATGTTACAACTGTTGCCGTGCCATCTTCATTTTGTGTCCTGTCAGAATCGTGCACTGTTTTTTTTCCTTGTTATGAGCATAGAAGTACCAGCGAAGCTTCAGTCCTAGCAAGAAATGTGAGGTCGCTGTAATGCAATTTCTGTTCCGAAACAGAAGTCTGTTTGATTGATATTAAACAGTAGAAAGCTGCCAGTGTGGGTTAGAGATGAACTGTCATTCCTCATATTTCAGTTGGAACATACAGATAGTTGAAATGATTTCAATACAATTATTGGCTGTAACAAAATGGAAAGGAATAGGTGAGACAACAACATGTGGTGGCTTATGTCTTACTTTGTTAACTGCTTGCAAGGCACTCGGTAATCTCCAAAGAAACAACCTCGAGCATATATATGGTGTTAGGATGTAACTAACTACTTCTATCCATCCAGCTGTACAGCTTTGGTGAGACGGTATCTATCGTCATGTGGACAGACACGTGGCAGCCACACAGCTACTACGACAAGATTGCTTCCACCCCCAGCGAGGTCTCCACATGCTAAGCCTCCTCGGTGAGAAAAAAATGCCACCTGCATCGAAACTACTGCATGCCAGGGAACTGTGCTGCGTGTCTTGCAGTCATGAGGTCGTATATCTTTAGTGATACTATAGTAGTTGTATACAACCTTCTGGAGAGGCTCCATCCAGATGATCGAATCGTGGCAGCCAAGCGCATCCGTGGCTAACAAAGTGGTCCCACGGGTGCACTTGGCAAAATTCTCTAAAGGCAGGGTCACTAACCACTCAACTCATGACATCAGTCTGGAGTGCACGCCTGTTGGTGCAGGTTTGTGTGCACCTGTCTTTGTAAAGAAAATGCCGCGGACCTTCAAAGCTGTACCCAATGCCACTACGTTTACAACTTCCACAGCGCACAGAACTGTGGTGCCACTTCTTGTCACATTCTCCTGCTCACTTATTTGAGAGTTTCAGTGCAGCAGAACCCTAGTTGTTGGGTCTCAATCTTCTAGCAATCTATTGTGCTCACTGCACTTTCTTTTGTTCGCCAACTGCACCCAGGAAGTACTCGACAGCTTGCGTTTGCAAGCCATTTCGGGGCCCCAGTACTAAAGCAGATGCTTAGGATGTAATTAGAGTGTAACAACATGAGAGAGAATAGAAGGTGAGTTGATTAATCACAACATGAGAGAGAATAGAAGGTGAGTTGATTAATCAGCAGTGTTCTTTTAGCAACATAACCAGTGGTACGTTCCTCGGCATTAAAGAGGAACTCTGGTGATTATTCAACCATGCTAAGGTATTGAAGATTCTGTGTTTTCAATACCCCTCTGTCATTAACTGAAGAAAACAAGAAGTGTAAAAACAAAAACAGAATAACCAGGCAGTTGAATAAACACCTTTGTGTGACGTGTATTACTCACTAACAGTGCAGATGCACAAGGCATGTTCGTCTCGTTTTGTCATCCACGCAACAAAGTTAGTGTCTGACCACTGCCATGGGAATCTTTCAGCCCATAAGCAAAGTTGCTGTAGCAAATCGTAAAGATACAGAGGCAGTTGGGTGGCTTTGGAGTTCGAATTTGTGGTCCTTTCTTCCTATTGAAGTTTGTACAAGATTGTCAGGACCAGCCATGCAGTCAGGAAAATTCGGCCTTTTTGAAACGGTTTTAACTTTTGAGATTTTACTGTACTTGTCGCAGGCAGATTCATACTTTAATCACGAATTCCTTTTCTGGTTTTGTAACTTTATCATTCGTCGGTTGAACTGTATGTAATCACTCTGTGTAACCAGTGCATCAGATCCACTAAGTGCAGCTGATGCACTGAGTGCTCTAGTGTGAATTTTACAATTTTACAACATGCTGTGATATGATTGCTACTATTAGTACTAAGCACCTTCATAACAGTCATCACAATTCCATTAGCTTTGTGAAAAACATTTCTACAACCTTTTTGATTACTCCTAGCATAAACGTGTTTTAGTTTACTGGAGAATTTTGTTAATTATATCACTCCCTGTCATCATCTCTCATGAACTCTATGTCTCTTCACCTTTCACCAGTCTTTGTACGATGTGTGGCCGGTTATCTGCTCAAGGTTTTGCAATATTTGTGTGGTACCACTTTGAAATGTTCACCTAATCCATCTGCACGCGTTTGCTCTCCAATCCATGCTGTTGATGTCAAGAAAATACTTTCACAATCATGGTGCAAGTTGTGCCACTTTAGGCTATTCTATAGTGAGTTGTAATACAGATGAACTTGTGGTACACATTTTTATTTCACCTTATCAAGTAGTCACTTGACTAATGCTGAGTGCTCTGAGAAACATTGGCATCAGTTGGTGATGTTTTCTTGGCTTTCTGCGCTGTCCATGCAGACATCATAATGAAAGAGAAGTCGATAGAGAACCTCATCAAGTTAGTGTAATGCAACTGTCGTTTCATTTTTTGTATGTCATGAGCTAAGTGTGCATGACCATTCATTGTGATGGGGACCTCGTCACAACAGTCACATCCAGCATGAAAACATTCTTTTTTGTTTCATATTATAATGAATTCAAGGAGATAGCCGCAGGAAACAGCTTTGGTTTTACTTCATTACGTGTCGTGCCATATTTGCTCTCGGGTACAGATGCAGCAAATCATGTTTATAACCGAGTTAGTACACCCAGGTGGGGTAGAATACTGAAAACGTACTTTGTTAAGCCAAGAGTTTTGACATTACCTTCAAGCTTTTTAAACAAGCGTTCAATCAAATGGATACCCAATGGCGTTGTGTCCCGGATGGCTAATAATTAACGATGCCTAGAGCTGCCTAGGCCCAGTACAAGACTAGGAATCAATGTAGGCCGCAGTGTTCTAAAGAGCGGGCGTGTAGCGTCCCAGGTACTACATTATGTGAATGAAGACGAAAGTGAAACTTTGTGTAGACAACCGCAGATAAACACCAGGAGAGCATGAAATATTTCTCCATCTTCCGACATTGCGGATGTGGGCATAGCAGTGATGAATAATACAGTTACTGATGATGTTCTTGTGATCGTGAATTCGGTCAGTGCCTGTTTATCCTACTTGCTTTCAGTAGCATAATCGTTGGTCGTCACATGACAAAGAAGACAAACAATAAGATCTCAACATTTATAAGTGTGCAATATAAATGTTGTTACTAGTACATAAATAAACATTTACAGTAAGCTCTCATTAAATCAAAACTGGTGAGACCAGGAAGATGCTTTCTGCTTAACAGGAGTCTCTTTTTTTTATTCAGAGGACTGCCCCCTGGCATAAGAAATGTCTCATTTACTGAAAGATGAACAGGAGTGCAGAGTTCAAGTACAAAATTATTCATGTTAGTGAGTGGTTGTTTCATTAAGTAATGATTACATTTAAAGAAACTATCAACCAATTTTATGGTACCTTTTCTTTTTCTTTAGCACAATGAAAAGCTTACCTATGAGAGTGTCTAATCACGGAATTATAATGCGGTAAACACGATGAAAATTTATAATCAAAGCGTTTCAATCTGTGGCCACTGTGAAATTATCACACCCTCGCATGTTGCAAACAGCGAGATGCGAGTGTGGTTAATGTATGTGCGTGGCAATTCTAGGCGCATGCTCGTGCTCCACGCGCTCGATAAGTTCTACTAGTTGCCACGAAACCACTTCTCAGCGTGCAA